GAGCACTGGAGATCAGTTTCAGAAGATGCTAATAAAACAAGGTCGTCTGCAAACAGCAACCTTCTCGACTGAACAGTGATGTGACACTATTAAATGTTTACTCGTAAGGCCAATTCAGGACATCCGCGATCACATCGCTGATGAGTTATAAGGAAGAAAAGTTTGTAGCCGTTGGAGTACCTGCAATACAATATAATGATGAGGTCATCTCTTGTGCCCTCATTTCGTGAAGTTAATGGCTGAGCGCTGATTTCCATTTCCATGCCATCAATCAGTCAAGAGTGCCTTATTTTAGAGGCACAGTCGATAGCAGCTATGCGGCAAGCAGGGCATGTAATCTCCTGCTTCATTCCAACAAAATGGTACTCATTTAACAGCCTCAGAAGAAAGGCAAGCAGTCCTGAACGAGGCTAGAACACGCGCTTCTAGATCTAGAGTCCGACGCTCTACCGACTGAGCAACGACTCTGTGAAGCAGCATGTACCAAATTTCTTGCCCAAGAGAATTCACGCTTATGACAAAGATTTCCGCCTACCGGAATTAAACGAGACACCTCTGGTCTTAGAACCTGTGCCACCATGTTACAATGCGTTGATGAGCTTACGAGAAAGAGGTACAGTGATAAACAATTCCATATCACAATCATATCATTTTTTGGGAATGATTTCCTCAGGACCATGAAACCTGCTACCTGCCAACATCGCAGCCATCCCATGCTGAAGTTCTTATATAACCTGTGAAACTATGCGTTAATGTTCTTCCTAAACATTGCGCCATGAAATAAAAATAAAAAGATATAATGCAGGTAACTTATTTTGCTACACATTTTCGGCTTGTAGCAAAAAAACAAAAGCAACTGCCAAAATCATCATCCGAACCACAGCAAAACATTATACTCTCAGACTGAAGAGAAACAGTATTATTTACGTACCTCATGAAATTCGAATCCTATTGGTGGTATTGGGCACTGACTATTAGGGGGGGGATACTGAGAACTTGTTGCAGAGTGAGATAGTGGCAAAATAGCAGCTACGATTTTTATATTGCGGCGTTTCTGGTATGCATTAAGTTTGCTACATTTCGCATTTAAGGATAAATCTTAAAGTAAGTACGAGATATTGGAGGCCAGCTTTGATGCACTAATGTTTCGAAAACAGATGATAAATTACCATTACAGGAACGCGTCTCCATAAAAAAAATATGCAAAGCTAATTCCATATTACCATCCACATAACGCCAATTAGCTTTCAGGAATTTATTCCGCCCCCCCCCGCGTAAGACGGGGTTTGACTGACTTCCAAGGCAACCGACAGAGGAAGCCGATTCGTGACACAAAGTTGAAAGCTGCAGTCTGGCACACTGATAAGGATTTCGCAACGGAACTGCCACGGTCGAGTGCATATATTAATCGAAGCGTCGATTGTAGCTAATCGATAGATAAACTAAGGACACGCGTTGCATAAAATAAGTCATTATATAACGCCCTTTTGGAATTTGACATGCCTGTCAAGTCGTGATCAATACTCATTCTTTTTCGTTTTTTGTTTGAATGTTACTGTAAGAAAGCCATAATGACCTGTTCAGAGATGGTGGTGGCACAGTGACGAGAAAGTTTGCTTCGAATGCCAGAGTTCCAGGTTAGACCCTGCTTGAGGGCAATCTTGGTCTTATTCGCGAATTCCCTTGAGCAAGAATTTACCATTTGCGCTTCTAACTAGGATGGCTTCGTCGGGATAGCGTCTGATTCAAAACCAAGAGGACTCGCGATCGAGCCTCGCTCTGAGTCACTCGCCTTTCTTTGTTCCAAGGTCGATAAATGAGTACCATTCTTTAGGAAGAAAGCATGGGACTACACGCTATGCATGCTACGTCGCTGTAGATTCTGTCCTTAAAAATGAAGACACTTGGCTAACTGCAAGAAACTGAGATCAGTAGTACACAGTCGACTTCATAAAAAGAAGGGCACCTGAATGGCCTCATTATGAAAGTATATGGAAGACCGACATTCCAAAGGCTATAAATGTTCCCTGTTGCTCTCCACAGAAACTAGTAGAAAATGTAGAAAAACTATCAGTTAGTCAGTTCAGTTTCAGTGACCACCTTTCTATTCGAGCCGCGGTGGCAGCAGATCTAAAT